CGCCTCCGCCTCCTCCCCTTCCTCCTCGCCGCCCCCGCCTCCAGCGCCCGGGCCACCTCCTCCTCGGGGCCCGCCCTCCGGCCCGCCCCCACGCCGTACTTTCACGAGCTCATAGGCTGCGGCGTGCGTCCCTCACCGCTAAGGCGGTGGTCTGCGCCGCCGCCCCGCCCCCGGCTCTGTTTTCTCCGGGGTGCCACACAGTCCCGCGGGCCTTGCAACCTCCACCGCCCAGTGGCTGCTCAGGTGTCACTGAGGTGGGCAGAGAGGAGGGAGGCTGGCCCGGGAGCACGGTCCGTCCGGGAGGAGCTGGGCTGCGGAGTGCCACCGCGCCTGCCCGCCCCCTGGGTCCCGCACACACTCCCGGGTGTGTGACGGCGGCTGCGAGTGTGTGAGTGGCCCGCAGGAGTGAGATCGGAGACCCGGGAGGGAGGAAGGAGGAGCGCCCGGAGCTCCGGGCCGCGGCGCAGCTGCTGTCGCTGCCGCAGCTGTCCAGGGAGGATCGCCAGGACGGCGACGCGTAAACAGCTTACCTTGGGGAGGCAGCTCTGCCTGGGCTAGGTGGACGCGGGTTACTGCTGGTGGGGTGGTTAGTACGCGTGCACAACTTCACGGGAAGAGGGCGAAAGTGTGTTTCGGGCGCTGCGGGACGCCGTGGCTGGTTATCCAAGGAGGATGGGGACGGACTGGAGTCTGCGACCCAGGCTATGATCAGTGACCCAGGACGCCCTCGGGTCTCCTAGGAAATAAAAGGAGTCGGAAAAACTCAAGAGAGTTCGCTTTGTCCCTGTTCACACGTGCAAGCAGTCACTGGTGGCCATAGGTAACACTAAAAGTCTTGCTCCTTCCAGTTAGTCACTTGGTGCCCAAGGTGTGCGTGCAGGGCCTTGGAGCCTTGCTGAGGATTCTCACCAGTCCGTCCCTCTTAAGAAGGAAGTAAGGAACAGAGAATGAGATTCTGGTGGCCCAGTTAGTTCCTTTCAAACAGCTTTGGCTTAAGGAAGGGTCTCTCTGCAGAAGGTTCTCTGTGCACAGCCTCCTCCCTGGCCTACCTCAACCCCGAGGACCAGCAAGGAAATTATGCAGAAGGCTGAATACATTTCTAACCCTCGTTTTTCCTGTTTTACTTTAAATTCCTTCAATATCAGGGTTTTCCTGTTTCCTGAATTGAACTGTAGGCCCAGTAAAATGCCTAATAAACGTTTTAGGAAGCTAGGAGATGGAGCCAGGAGAACTGTTTTGGCGACAGGGATTAGATTAAACTCAAATCCGAAAAAAATAAGTTTTAATAGCAGACTGGTGGCGCTGGAGCATGACGAGTGTGTGGCTTCAAGGAATCGGAGCAGACACTTCTGGAGCAGCCCTGTAGAGGCCTGCTAGTCAAAAGGAGAGATGGAGTGGGTGGGAGCATCCCACCAGCAAAGGGAGGCTGCCCCTGGTGGCCAGATTCTGCTGCCAGCTTGGGAACCTCTATGGTCCTTGCCTTCAGTAAGTCTGTGTAGTCCAGTGGAATTTTCAGGGAACATAAAATTACCTCCAAGAGGTCTGTCTAATCTCCCCAGTTAGGGGTTGTTGCAAACAGCCTCCTTGGCAAGAGCAGAGCTAGTTGCCAAGGCAGATTTGGGAAGCTGGTCCCTGGCCAGGTGGCTGGCAGAGAGGGAGGGATGCCAAGACCTGTGGGTGAAGAGGGCCTACTTCAGGAAAGACTGGGAAACCTTATCTGGGGATACTTAACGTTTAGGGCCAAGACTTGCTCACCCACACGCTGCACACAGATGCCGTGCAACTGTTATTTAGGGTAAAACTTCCCCTGGGCACCAGAAAAGCACCCTTGAACCGGGATCAGAAGCTGAAAGTGTCAGCCACATTGAAAAATTTTATGATAGAGATAGGAACTGAAGGAACACCTTTCAGACACACCACAAGTCTAGAACAGCACCTAGCTAAGGTATGTGGGGGGGGGGGGAATGAATAGGGATCACATTGCAGCACATCTTCCTATTATCAGATACTTTTAATGCCTGTGTATGGGTCCATAAGCATTGTAATGCAGACACATCTTGGGTAAAGTAGGACTCAAGTACTGTGCAGGAGCACATCAACCAGGAACTAGCTAGGTCCAGACACCTGGTTTCTCAACCAGACAGCCAAAGCATCTGTTAGTCAGATGTCCCTTCAGACAGCCAGCTCTCTGCTATCACCATCCTTTTCTCTGTCTTCTTAAATCCTGTTAGACTCCCCAAACAGTTCGTGACTATATTCCCACTGACAAAGATTAACTTACATTTGGAATTCACATGTTCAAGGTGATAACTTCAGTTTCCAGAAACTGACTTTGGAAATGTCCTTTGCTCATGAAGAAAAAGTAAGATTAAAAACATTGATAAAACAATATTTCAACCTGGTGATAGCAGCATATGCCTTTAATCCCAGCACTCTGGAGGCGGAGGAGGTAGGTGGATCTCAGTGAGCAGAGTGAGTTCCAGGCTAGCCAGGGCTACACAGAGAAACTCTTACTCAAAAAAATAAAAATAAAAAAAAAACATTTCATCCACTAAGAAAAAAAGTATATGCCTTTTCTTCCTTAGTTTAATTCTCTCTAGGAAGCAGTTTTCCCACTGGGAATTCCATTTCCCAGCCTGACCATGGTATATCTGTGTGATTAGTTTTTGATATTGATAATATAAGCTAAAGTGGTCTGTGACTTGCTGGCCAGAGTGATGGTGCAGCTGATCCACGTCCTTCCATCTGTAAGACTTTCTTTAGCTGAATACAAGAACCTTCTAAGACCCTGGTTTGGACGGAGGATCAGATAAACGGAGCCAAGTCTTGTAATTACCACGTCAAGAAATGCTGCTTATCTCCTAAGAAAGACTGCACGAGGCTTTAACTGAAAAAGAAGTAATCATTTTTGTGTTAGTCTGCTAGGACTTATTCGTTAGGAAATTAATATACAATAGTTACTTATTTTATTCCAGAGTAAAATATCTACTAAAATACAGAAGTATTACATCATTGTTACATAAGAGAGCAACCATAAAACTAAAAACATTCCCCTCTGTTTTAATACATGAACATCCAATCTTCATTTCTGTAGATGAACACTTCATTTGCCAGTTATGTCTTGAACAACTGTGCAAGGTACTAGCTCTGTAGTTGGAATTTTCTTTGGGCCACCAACCAGCTCCCAAATAAAGACACAGAGACTTATTATTAATTATGAATGCTCAGCCTTAGCTTAGGTTTGTCCCACTAGCTCTTTCAACTTAATTTAACCTGTTTCTATTCATCTGTTTTGCCTTGGGGCGTTTTACTCTTCATTCTGTATGTCCTATGTAGACAAATATCTAAACAGTCTTATTAAATAAGAAACACAGAGCCAAATATAGGGGTGAAAGCTGTAGAGATCAGGGAAATAGTGAGAGTCACCAGCTAACCTGAGCTCACCACCCCACAGTAGCTTCCCAAGCGAGCAAGCTTCTTCCTGTCTACCCAGGCTTTTATTGCCTTGCTGTTCTGCCCTCTCATTGGCTCTTAGCCCAGCTACCTCACTTCCTTGTTACTGCCTATCTGTACAGGCCTCCAGGTCTCTGTGGTTGGTACTGGAATTAAAGGCGTGTGTCACCATGCTTGGTTGTTCCCTAGTGTGTCCTTGAACACACAGAGACTCTGCCTGCCATGTGATTGGATTAAGAGTGTGTGCTACCACTGCCTGACTTTTGTTTATGGCTGGCTATGTCCTCTGATCTCCAGGCAAACTTTATTTATTAACATACAAATAAAATATCACCACATTTCAGCACAAATAAAATATCACCACAGTCCTACTTTCCTGCTTCCTCTGTGCCTGGCTGACTGGCTCCTGGCCTCTTCCTCTTGCTTACTCTCCCTGCCTGGAAGCCCCTACCTCTTCCCTCCCTATTGGCAATTCAGCTTTTTATTAGACAGGCAAGGTAAAACAGCAACACATCTTTACATAATTAAACAAACGCAACACATCCCTACATAATTAAACAAATGCAACATATCATTACAAAGTTAAACTAATATTCCACAACATAAATACAATACATCTTTACATAGTTAGACAAATTCAGCACATCTTTGTGTAGTTAAACAAACATTCCACAACATGGCTCGATGGTTAATAAATGTGAAGGATAGAGGTCCAGTCACTTAGCTCTCTTTGGTCTTGATGGATAGATCTTACACACGTGCTATCTTTGCAGACATTGATGTGTAAAGCGCTGCTTCCACACAGAATAATTTACTCTTCTCTTCATGGATGAATACTGAATAACATGCTTGAGGGAGGATTTGTGGGCTTGGAATCCACTGCATTGAAATGATCCACACAATTTTTTTCTCACTGGTGAAAATCATAGACAGTGAAAAACAATTTGTAGTTTTTATTATGTGCTGTTCTGGGCAATTTTGTTTTGTTTTGTTTTGTCAATTTAACACAAGCTAGAGTTATATGGGAAGAAGGAATCTCAACTGAGAAATTGCCTCCATAGGACTGGTCTGTAGTCACATCTGTGTGGCATTTCTTGACTAGTGATTGCTGTAGGAGGGTCCAGTCCACTGTGGGTAGTGACACCACTGCAGGTGGTCCTGGGGTGATTGAGAGAGCAGACTGGGCAACTCAGTAAGAAGCACTCCTCCGTGCCTGTTCCTTCACTCTCAGCACTCCTGCTCTAACTTTCCTCAGTGATAAATTATTACCAGGAAGTATGAGGAGAAATAAATCCTTTCCTCTCAAAGTTGCTTTTGGTCATGTTGTCTTATCACAGAAATAGAAATCCTAAGACATATGCTTTGTTAGTTCCAGAGGAAACAAAT